CATGTGCTGTGCCAGTGTGCCTGCACATGTGATGTGACAATAAAAGTGATTTGATTTTGATTTGATTTATTCAGCTATGTTGGGGGTTTGGCTGGTACACGTTTCCACCAGTAGAGGGCAGGCACGGAAAAAAGAAAAAAAGAAATGTTCTGGAAAAGAAGAAGCGAAGAGCATGCTTGGGTTCTGTATGTAAAAGCCATGGTTCTGGGGTACCCAAATAAACTCGGTTTGCTGTTTACACCAAGTTGTCCTGGAGTGGTGTAACATGTGCAAGAGAGAGTGTGAGCGAGGGTTGGACCCCACCTGGTCACTGTGAGCAACCTTCAGGAGGTTAGTGTCCTTGGCTGCCACCATATGGAAGTTTTGGTCGATGCCCAATAGGAATTCAAACTCAGTTGCTTGCTAGCTCTGTCCCTGTTTGTCAGACCTTAACATTTATACAGAATTGTTCTATGTGCGTGTGATTGTGCTGTAAATATGCTGGAATGTATTCCAGCAGTCAATAAAAAAGTCATGTAATGAGATAAAAGTTTGAGCTTCAGTGTGTAACAAAGCCTTTGGGGTTAGCATTTTGTCCGTGATGTGCGCCTGCCTTGGAAACACTCTCCTCACCACTGAGTTTTATATCAGTTAATGAAATTCTGATTAGTATTGTAAGTTTGTCTTCATGTGAATTAGCTATTGATATGACTTTTCCTTTTCCAGAGTAAATGACTGCATCCTTCGGGTGAATGATGCTGATGTGTCTGAAGTTTCCCACAGTAAGGCAGTAGAGGCCCTAAAGGTTGCAGGTTCTGTTGTCCATTTGTATGTGCGGCGCCGCAGGCCTATGCTAGAGACAATCATTGAGCTCAAGCTAATCAAAGGACCAAAAGGTTGGTATAGACCTAAAAAGCATGATTTTGTGCATTATAAATTTGAGAGAATAGTTGATGATATTCCGTTCTCAGTGATACTACTGCACATTTTGTGTATGGCGAGGGTCATTTTTTGACCCTGAATGATTAATCTGGATTTCCAGAGCTCAGCACAAGAATGGGTGTTACTTACTGTAGTTATGACAGCTGGGAGGTTTGTAAACACAGCAGAGCTTAAGACCTTGAAGTTACTGTGAAATGTATTCATTGTCAGAAAGCCTTTGAAAACCCATGACACTGCCACAAAAACGTGTCCCTTTCAATTAATAAATACAACAGTTATAGCATCCTCCTATATCATAATGTGTATGCCTATGTCATATCTTTAAACTAACTACTGTCATTCTCTCTCTCTCTCTCTCTCTCTCACACACACACACACACACACACACACACACAACACACACACACACACACACACACACACACACACACACAACAGGCCTTGGTTTCAGTATTGCAGGTGGAGTGGGAAACCAGCATATCCCTGGTGACAACAGCATATATGTAACTAAAATTATTCATGGTGGGGCGGCACAAAAGGATGGCCGGCTGCAAGTTGGAGACAGATTATTAATGGTGAGAAACAGCATGAACATCACGTGTAAGACCCACATTGCACACACGTGTATGACAGTTCTGGATGTATACGAGCTTTAATGAAGCTCACTGAAAAGCCCGTATGAGAGGTGTGGCTTCTTAACCCCTGTTAATTCCCTGTGGATCTAAAAATGTCTTAGTGACAATATCAGCTGCAGAGCATTGTGTGGTGTTATTTGTAATCTATTTACCAGTGGTAAGGCAACACTTGACAGCCCAAACTGCTGTTTGTATGTGTTTGTGTTTTTCTGCCCCAAGACACTCGGACCCTATCAAACTGTAATTCTAGCCCACTTTTTATGGACTGTTTAACTCTGCTGATTATTCAACCTGTGTTTAAAATGTTCTTTATTTGGCACAGTTCTTGAGTATAGCATCTCCTCCACCAGATTTCCAATGTGATTTAACACTTTTAATACCATTTAATAAAGATCGTTTTGCTTAAATACACTCAACAAAAATATAAACGCAACACCTTTGTTACTGCTCCCATTCCCCATGGGATGGACGTAGAGACCTAAAATTCATTCCAGATACACAATATAACCATCCCTCCCAAACAGTGGTCACAAATCAGTCCAAATGTGTGGTAGTGGGCACATCTGCATATTGAGATAATCCATCCCACCTCACAGGTGTGCCACATCAGGATGCTGATCTGACATCATGAGTAGTGCACAGGTGTACCTCAGACTGCCCACAACAAAAGGCCACCCTGGAATGTGCAGTTTTTTGCGCTATTGGGGGTCTGGGGACCCAGAACCGGTCAGTATCTGGTGTGACCACCATTTGCCTCATGCAGTGCAACACATCGTCGCATGGAGTCTATCAGATTGTCAATTGTGGCCTGTGGAATGTTGGTCCACTCCACTTCAATGGCTGTGCGAGGTTGTTGGATATTCGTGGGAACTGGTACACGCTGTCGTATACGCCGGTCAAGCACATCCCGAACATGCTCAATGGGTGACATGTCCGGTGAGTATGCTGGCCATGCAAGAACTGGGACATTCTCAGCTGCCATCTGCCCTGAACAATGTGAACCATGATTCATCCGTGAAGCGCACACCTCTCCAACGTGCCAGACGCCATCGAATGTGAGCATTTGCCCACACAAGTCTGTTACGGCGACGAGCTGGAGTCAGGTCAAGACCCCGATGAGGACGACGGGCATGCAGTTGAGCGTCCCTGAGACGGTTTCTGACAGTTTGTGCAGAAATTGTTTGGTTGTGCAAACCAATTGTTCCAGCAGCTGTCTGGGTGGCTGGTCTCAGACGATCTTGGAGGTGAACCTGCTGGATGTGGAGGTCCTGGGCTGGTGTGGTTACACGAGGTCTGCGGTTGTGAGGCCGGTTGGATGTGCTGCCATATTCTCTGAAACGCCTGTGGAGACGGCTTATGGTTGAGAAATGAACATTCAATGCACGGGCGACAGATCTGGTTGACATTCCTGCTGTCAGCATGCCAATTGCACGCTCCCTCATTGCTTGTGGCATCTGTGGCATTTTGCTGTGAGACAAAACTGCACATTCCAGGGTGGCCTTTTGTTGTGGGCAGTCTGAGGTACACCTGTGCACTACTCATGATGTCAGATCAGCATCCTGATGTGGCACACCTGTGAGGTGGGATGGATTATCTCAATATGGCAGATGTGCCCACTACCACACATTTGGACTGATTTGTGACCACTGTTTGGGAGGGATGGTTATATTGTGTATCTGGAATGAATTTTAGGTCTCTACGTCCATCCCATGGGGAATGGGAGCAGTAACAAAGGTGTTGCGTTTATATTTTTGTTGAGTGTAGTAATATGTTGTTTTTAGTTTGATGCTCTCTTTAAACACAGAAAGATGATATAGAAAATACTTAAGCATGACTGTACAGTAAAAATCACAGTGGTATAAACTTCATCAAGTAATAGAGGCTAGATGTCAGAGAATGTACAGTTACCTTATAACCTTCTCTGTGTGAGAGTATTGCTCCACTCCGTTACATAATCGATATATAAGGGGAATGACCCCCTTGGTCATGCCGTGTGAATACTTCTTTAAGACACTCTAGTTGGCCTGGCCACGCATAAAACAGCTGAGCAAACATGAAACCGTTGATGGTTTGATCGGAACGCGTCTCCGAGCGGCCTGAATCTGGAGAGAGCTGAAGTCTTTCACTCAGAGAACCACGGTTACAAAGTAACCACACAGTCTCAATCATATCGAGACTATCTTTACACACTGCTATACACTGCCAGTCGCCACCAAAAAAGGTCACACACTCTAATATTTCATTGGACTGCGTTTAGCTTTGATTATGGCACGCATTCGCTTTGGCATTGAATCAATAAGGTCTTGCAATGTCTCAAAATTTATTTCCATCCAGTGTTGCATTAATTTTTCACCAAGATCTAGCATTGATGATGGTAGAGTCTGACCATTGCGCAAAGCCTTCTCCAGCGCTTCCCAAAGATTCTCAAGGAGGTTGAGCTCTGGACTCTGTGGTGGCCAATCCGTGTGTGAAAATGACGTCTCATGTTCCCAGAACCACTCTTTCACAGGTTGAGCTCGATGAATCCTTGTTTTTCTTCTATTTGATTTCACCAAGCGCTCAATCATGATCGCCGATCATGATCATTCGGGATTTTTTTCCGGCCATCTTTCTGCCAGACGCAAGACTGCTGTCAGTGATTCCTGCAAAACTAAGGGGCTGCAACAGAGCAAACTACTAAGGTCGGCCTGCAAGATGCTAGGCCGACCTACCACCCACCACTTTCATACTGTAGATCTTGTTCTGACGTATGGCATAGAAACTGAACATTTAGCAGTATTTTCTTGAAACCCATCTTTTGTCTAATCATCTCTTATTAACATTTAAATTTATAATAATGGATTAAGCATGTAAGTTTAATACAAGGACATAATTAATCCACTGTTATCTTAAATGCCATGTGTCAACACAGTGCAGAGCAGCTACCTGAACTAAAAGTCAAGGGAATATTTGACTCCCTGGTATAATTCTCAAATGCACACCTTAAAGCACATAAATGTAGGCTGTAGAGGAAATGATGATCTTAATTTATAAGATCATCGTTTAGCTTGTAAAAATAGTTTGCTGCTCTGTAAAAAAGCCTGTAAAGCTAGACCATCTTACTATTCATTAATCAACAACCCCAGGTTTCTCTTCAGTACTGTAGCCAGGGTGACAAAACGTCAGAGTGGTGCGCTTACAGTCATACCGTTGCACTTACAGGCATACCACCCCGAGCACGCCCGCTCTCGTATGAACTCAGAAGCTGAGCAGGGTTGGGCTTGGGTAGTACTTGGATGGGAGACTGCCTAGGATTACCAGATGCTGTAAGTTTGTGGGGTGGCTGTAGAGCAGGTCATCTGCTGATTGGAAGGTTAGTGGTTGGAACTGGTTCCTCAGGTCTGCATACCAAGTATCCTGTATGCTTGTGTGAATGTGTCATGTTGTAAAAAGCGCTTTGAGTGCTCTGGAAGAGTAGAAAAGCTCTATATCAGAATCAGTCCATTTACCATAAATTTTTAACCATTAGAGAAAAAAATTGTCATAACCATTTCACTGACATGACATTGTGCACAGCTACTTTCGATACCATGTTCCATACTGTAATATCTATTAATTGGCTACACAGGCCTAAGAGCAGTAGTTAAACTGTTACTTAAATGCCATCATTTGATCCAGCTTTCTTAACTATTTATAAACAATCTCAATCTTCCTTTTTCTCTTGAAAGTTGTGAAACAGCCTACTTATCATCTGCAGAGGAATGGTTTGTTTAAAGCGTTTAGTCAGGTTTCAGAGCCCATCACAGCATTTGTGAACATTACAAATGAGAACTGGGACAGGTGTAGAAACTAAAGGACACCAGCTACTCCAACCCTAAGAACAAGTAGGGGTGCAGAAGAGTGCTGGGTCTGAAACACCCTGGAAGTAGGAACTGGGACCGGTTGAATCCTAGCCACCCTCACCCGAGGAACTGCTACGGGTGCAGGGAATGGTTGGACCTTAGCCACACTGAGAGCGGGAGCAGCAGCAGGGACCAGCTATTTTTAGGCAGTTCAAAAATATCACCCTCAACGTCATTTAAGTCAGCCTTAGACAAAAAATTCCCACTCATAACTTTCCCCACTAATTAACAAGGAAAACTGAGTTTTTATCCCAGCTGATCTAGAAAAACATGCTGAGACGAGGCAGTGCTAGCTACTCACAGCTACTCATCTTTCTGTTTCAAGAGAACATCATACTAAAAACAACATATTGGGCACAGTAAAGGCTCCTAAAATGTATCTGGATGCTCCAATATGTAACAATCATGCCTTCAGGCCTGGGCTGGAGGACATCACGTTTGTGACATGGCAGGGAAGAGGGATTTGTTCTCTCAAAGATATTTACATTGATGGACATTTTCCATCTTTTCAGCAATTGAGGGTGAAATTTAATTTCCTAATTCACATTTTTTCAGATTTTTACAGTTAAGACATTTCATCAAAGCATCTATTCCACAATACAATTTGATTCCTCGAAACTCAGTGTTTGACAGCTTCGTGTCAGTTGAGCCCTACACTACAGGTGCTGTGTCTCGCTTTTACAGGGCCTTACTGGATATATACAGTCCTTCATCTCATACTTTTAGGGAGCAGTGGCAGGAAGAACTGGGGGTGGATGTTACTGATGATCTTTGGCAAGAGTGCATTAAGAATATATATTGTAGTTCTATAAATGCTAGACACTGTCTGATCCAATTTAAGGTTGTGTATAGGTTGCATTTTTCTCCCACTAAAGTGGAAAAAATATATAAGAGCGTTTCAGCCAGTCTTAAGTGTTCAAGTGATCGAGGAACTTTATCTCACCGTTTCTTTCAATGCCAAAAACTAACTTTTTTGGAATCATTTGTTTGATTTTCTGACCAAAGCCTTTGGCAGGGAGTTCCCATGTTCCCCTTTGCAGCATTATTTGGGGTGTCTGAACCGGGATGGGCAAGGGACAAGGCAGAGACGCAGGTTGTGTCAATGACCACACTTGTGGCTAGAAAGCTGCAAGTCTGATAAACCTCCTTCCTTTGAAATGTGGTTGAGAGAATTTGGAAATGTACTCCACCTGGAGAAAATCAGGTTTACCTTGTCTAACCGAGAGAGAGTGTTTTATAAGATTTGACAACCAGTCATTAGCCTGATGGATAAACTTAAGTGAAATATACTCTGTTTTAACATTTATGTATGTTGTATTACCACCTTGTTGACTTGCCGTCCACCTTCTATTGTGTTCTTTGGAAGGTGATTGTTGTATATGGCTCAATTATAAAATCAATAAAAATATATTGAAAAAAACTTCAACATATTAATATTTAAACATAAAAAGATTTTTATTTTCATTTCTATTAAATGCAAAGTGTTACATTACATTGAAAATCTGGTGGAGACGTTTTGGTTAAGAACTGTGCAAAATGTCTTCACGCTCACTTATCCAGGTAAGAACATCTCCAAAAGTTGATTCTGTTCATCTGGACGTTTTCAGTGGGAGAAACGTTTCATCATCATCAGGTGACGTCTTCAGTCTCAGCTGACTGCAGGTTTCAATCTTATAAACAGGACATTTGCATAATGACTGAAACCAGCCCACTGAAGGAACAATGGGCTGGGAGGTCAGTCCCTTAATCTTAATTATGCAAATTCTCATGAACATTGATCATCAGTGGTTACTGATCAAAGCCCATGAGTGCCATTCACAGAGAGTTGGTGAATGGCTGCAATCACACCATGTAAGATGGTGACAGATGTACCCTTAGGCCCCTCCTCCATTCAGAGATGGTCTTTCCCTTTTCACGTAAATGGCCTCCTACTTAGACCAGAGGTTGTTTGGTTTCCCCGATGTATAAATCCTGGCAATCCTCCTGCACTTAACAGCGTACACTATGTTACTCTGTTTGTGTCGGGGGACCCGATCCTTGGGGTGGACCAGTTTTTGGCGCAGCGTGTTTTGGGGTTTAAAAGCCACAGAGACCCGGTGTTTAGAAAAAATGTGTCTCAGCTGCTCCGATACTCCTGACACGTACGGGATCACTACAGGTTTTCACTTGTCCTTCTCTCCTGGATCGGCTGGAGCTTTCTTTAGGAGCCTTTCCAGCTTTGACAAAAGTCCAGCTGGGATAACCACATCTACTCAGGCCTTCTTGATGTTCTTCTGCCTCCCTGGCTGCTGTGTCAGTGGGGATGGTGTTCGCTCTGTGTTGTAGCGTCCTGATGACGCCCAGTTTGTGCTCCAGTGGATGAGAGAGTCAAACCTTAGATACTGATCCGTATGTGTAGGTTTACGGTACACGTCAGCTTTTAGATGTCCCCCATTACTGATGGAAATCTCACAGTCTAAGAAGGCTAACCTGCCACTGTTCATATCCTCCCTGGTGAATCTGATGTGTCGGTCCACCGAGTTAATGTGATCCGTGAAATGTGGAACGTCCTGAGATTTGATTTTCACCCAGGTGTCATCCACATATCTGAACTAATGACTTGGTGGTGTTCCAGGGTAGGATAGCAAAGCCCTCTTTTCCACTTCTTCCATGTACAAATTGGCCACAATGGGTGAAACTGGGGAGCCCATGGCACACCCATGTTTCTGCCTGTAGAACTGACCCTTGTATGTGAAGTAGGTGGAATTAAGACACAGCTCCAAAAGTAGACACACTTGGTCGATGTGAGCGGTCCTGTTTTACTCAGAATTCTCTTGTTAATGTGTTGCTTCTGTAACTGGATACCCAGCCAGACTGCCAGTCTTCTAGCTTGCTTACTTGCCACAGTGCACTGTGCCACCTACCAAAAGAAAGGAAAAGATAATGTGCATATTTCCACGAGAGAAATCCCACGCCTGGACCGTCATTGACTGCTGCCATGATTCTAGCCTACGTCACAGTGTCATGTGCGCTTTTTACATCCAACACATAAACTGCAGTCGTGGTGCTTTCGGTTGTACTCAGACCTCGAAAATTCTGCCTTCCGAATAGGAAGATGTAGGCAACACCAGACTGCAGATGAGCTGCATACAGGGCTGGACTGGGACAAAAGATCAGCCTGAGCATTTTGACTAGAGACCGGCCGCCATTATAGGAAAAACCATAAAGCCTTTGAATGAAAACAAACGCTGTTGTGACAGTGATGTACACTGTTCTGATGGTATATATGCATCAATCTATCAATCGTTTGTTGTAAGATTCAGATAATTCTTTTTTAAAAGCTAGACATTTTAAATGAGAATAAGAAAGTATTTCTTTGTGCCCCCCTTTCCCTGTTAATGCTCTACCTGGCCCCCTGGCAACACTTTGCTAGACCCGCCCCTGCACAGTTACCAGCTGTCCAGATGAGCAGCATCAGCTTTTGGAGAACTGTGCCAAATAAACACAGTTTGAATAACCAACACTAAGGCTCATCTGCTAATTGGAAGGTTGGTGGTTCGATCCCTGCCTGCTCCAGTCTGTGTGCAGTGGAGAAGATACTGCCCTCAAGTTGCTTTCCATTGCATTTGTATGAATTTCTGTGAATCCTAGATATGCTTGTGTGATTGTGAATGGCAGCTTGTGTGAAGAGCTTCAAATACTCACATAGAGTAGAAAAGTGCTACATAAGAACCAGTGTATTTACTCTATTATTACACACTGATACTGCAATATGTTTTTGTTGCTTTAGGTTTAAAATAGTCACCGGTCGTTAGAACAGGCGTTTCCCCGCAGCACGCCAAATAATAAATACTTGTCAAGATAATAGCAGCCATTACAGCTTCAATCTTTAAATAATTTCATTTACTAAAAAGGACAAAACTTTGCACAAACATTTCCTGGCTTAAAATACAGAGTTCAACATCCAAAATGGAAACATGTCGATTTAAGCTGAAGCTTGACTGGTTAGTGAAAATATACAACCAAGTTAATTTTAGTTAGAAGTCAGCCTTACTCAGTATGCAGTGGGAGTCATAATGGGAGTCATTATTTCATCATTTCATTAACCAGGCAGCCGTCATACTGTAGTGAGACGTGTCTGCCACTCTCTGTGAAAGCAACCTGCTTAACAACAAGCCGTCTCTCTAGGAGGGCATCTGTCTTGCTTAATCACCCCCTAATTAAATTACCTCTCTGCGGGTGTGTTCTCATCCGAAGACCATCTGTCATAATCCACTCTCACGGAGGCAGGGAGCTTGTTGGACTCTTTAGAAACGAGCAATAAGAAGAAAAGGTCGCCTCTGAACCCGTATATCTGTCTGCACAGGTGAACCACTACAGTCTGGAGGACGTTTCTCATGAAGAGGCTGTGGGCATTTTGAAGAACACGTCTGATGTGGTCACTTTAAAGGTGGGGAAACCCACCAGTGTGTATCTATCAGATCCCTATGGGCCTCCTGATAACATGCAGTGTAAGTCTTATGGAATAGATTGTTATGCAGTTGCTATGAACTAGATTAGTCTGTAGTTATGTATCAATAGAATATGGAGAACCAGACTGCAGCGAGCTTTACTCAGTCGAATATGTTGCTGTTTAGTTCATAAGATTTGTGATGTACACAGTACAACTGTCTTCCAGATGTTAGTTTCTCATCTTCTCTGTTTAGTCATCTGTTACTCTGTTGTTTGCTGTGTTGTGCTGCAGCTTTTTCTCCTGCCATGAAAAATCACGTCTCTTCCCCCGTCAACACCGGCTCTCTGCATTACAAGTCCGACCTGCCCGTGGCTTCCCCTGAGAGTTATTCACCCCTCTCTCCGCACTTTCCGAGGGAAGAGGATGTAAACAGGTTGGGTGTTTTTTTCTTTTGTCTTTAATTACCTCCTCATTACAATATGAGATTCTTTAATGATTGGCTTCAGCTTACTAAAGTTACAGGTACAAACTCTTTCCACCTCGCTCCTGCTGTCTCTTGTCCCGATCTGTCTTTGTGTGCAATTTTGAAAAGCCATCAAAACTCTGTTTTAAACTGTTCTCTGGGGGAGTACACTGTCTAAAAATTAAAGGAACATTTTGGAAACATATCCGATTTCAATGGGAAAAAAAAGTCATGGACTATAACTGTGCAGACATGGTGTTAGGAATGAAAGGATGTCACATTGTTTGATGAAATTAAAATGATTAGCCTACAGAGGGCTGAGTTCAAAGACGCACCAAAATTCGGAGTGATAAAAATGATGCAGAGTGCTACTCCACTTTGCCAAAGTTTTACTGGACCAGCTCAAAATGTTACTCATTAGTTCAGACTCTTTCACATCTGAACATGTAGTCTGGTTCTGTTAGTCCACGGCATTCACACCTGTGGCCTGCTGGAAGTCATTTTGTTGGGATGTGGCAGATATGCTTCCTGCTGATGGCTCTGTAACTGCCTCCTGACAGAGCTGAGGACACAGTCAGTGTCAGTGTCTCTGTCTGTCAAACCACTCCTGTGTTGAGTTTTTGCACCTGTTGTTAATGTCATGAACACCAAAGCAACAGAAACTGATTAACTCTGCTACTTAACCACCCAGACCAATATCCCAGTAGTTTAACTAACTTGATGCTACATTCTGATTAAGAAGTGTTCCTTTAATGTGTTTATTGTTCGCGGTATAATCAAACCGCGTTACTATGGTGCTGACATAGTAAAGAGTCCGAGCAGTAAAACAGATTTCTAAAGGCTCAAATGTGATGTGCTTAGCAAAGAACTATAAAACAATGCATCTACTAAATGCTCTGCTTTGCTCACAGAGACTGATGCTTTGTCGTATGATATTCTCATGATCACTTGAGCTTTTAGGCTTGTAAATCATCCATAAAGATAAATTATGTTTGTTGGAGACGTTTCTTTATAAAGCTGGTACTTTATAAATGCTAGGAGAAAATGCATATGGTGTTCATATATTTAGCCTTATACAGGTCTTTAAATGGAAAATGTGCTGTTTCCAACTCTGCTCGAGCACTCAAAGAACTTAATACAACATTCATCCATCTGACTGCACTCTAAACCTGACTGTTAGAGTCTTTTCTAACATTGACATGCATTCACAATGAATACATCAGACTTGGGGTTAATTAACTTGCTCAAAGACACTTAGGATTGGATTGGATAAATGCATTTATTTGTCGGTTGCAGTTGCCTGCAACTGATATGACAAACCTTTCCGACCGTACATATAAAACACAAATTCACAATGGGGAGACAGGTCAGGCTAGGTAGCAAAACGAAAAACAACTAAATGTGTAAAACAAAAGGTCAGATCAGGAGAAAAAAAGAATTTCTGCTCATACTGATCCTTAAAGGCAGTCAGCATGAGGAGAAGACAAAAACTCCATCACATAAGAAGCACAAGTATCATCACATCATAACACCATAAAAACACAAGACAAGCAACATGGGGGAGTATGCCAATGTGCACAGCTGCATCTGGGACTCTGCAATCTTGTGATTGCGCCTCCAGCTGGACCGCTGTCCACATCAGATGGAAGGTAAGCATGTGAGGAGGCGTTGGAAGGCGGGGATGATGGTGAGGCGTGTCAGTATGTGTGTCCTGAGTTCAGCCTGAGAAAGTGTCCTTTCGCCCCGAATTGTTGTTGTTCTCGTCGCGTCAGCCTTCAAGAGCATCCAGCTGGCGTCGTCAGGGTGGGGAGGTAGCTGATGGATATGTTGTTTTAGAGCGAACAGACTGCATCAATTTTACAGTTGTTCTTATCGTCTGTCAATGGTCTCCGGGGCTCCTCCAAGATCTTTCCCATATTATATTCAGTAGGAACAGTCTGAGTACTCACAGCTCTTCCCACATTTCGATCAAGGTGGCAGTCACCATTTTCTTCCATTTCCGATACACCATGCAGGGCCAAGCCAGCTCCAATCAGCAAGAGCCCCATTAGCCGAATAGGTAGATGTCTTCAATGTCCTCAATAGACAGTCCCGCTAGGCACACGACGCGCCACTTCTGCTACCCGTCCATCGTGTATCCAGCAGGGAACGTCCCTCCAGGGCACTCAGGCTCCTGATCCTAGGCTTCTCGTTGAGAAGAGGGTGTCAATTGCATTAAGGGACCAGTTGATCAAATCCATAGTTCTTCTTTAGGTTTTAGAGAACAAGAGCGAGAATGAGAAGGTCTCTCAGGTTTAGAGTCAGACAAGACCAGACAAGGACATAGAAGCAGCAGCAGGGAAGAGAAGGAGAAGGAGAGGATGAAAGATGCGTCCACCTCCTCCGAGAGCCAAAGACCAAAAAAAAAAAAAAGGCATGCCGTCTGTAGGCTGGAGCAGCCGTGGATTAACCTACCAACCTTCCAATTAGGAGATGCCCTGCTCCACCTCCATATTAGCAGGGCTGTTTGTAATGCATCAAATTTTGCTTTTCAGTGTCATAAAGGTGGTGAATTTGACTTGAAATAGTCTTTTAGCACGACAGTTGGAAAGTTGGTTCACCTTACGCTAACTGTAGCACATTTTCTTATCCCCTATCTTCTACCACTTATAGTGGTCTACAGTCCAGAGCAATCCATTAGTCTTCCAGTAGTCTTTTGAAGTGAAATTTGCCTCCGATCAGTCCTAGCAAACCACTTTCTTCTGATTCTTTATAGCTCTGATATGTGCATCAGTGTAATTGGTATAGCAGGAAATCGTGCATTGACAAAAGTTCCCCTTTGCTTGAAATGCAAAGTGCAATTAAATGCTTTTTTTTTTTACACATTACTTTTTTCAAATTAAATAATCGCAATTAAAATTCATTTCCCACCCCTAGTT